TACCAACATAATCTTGCAAATAATCAAACACCAGTGTCCAGTGTACACAACTCTTAACCTATGGACTGAGATTTGATTAAACAAAACCAATAACCAAAAGATGAAAATCAGTAAAAAGAAATTAGAAATCAAATTAAAGAAAAAAACATAAAAGTATTATAAAGTACAGGTATTACAGGGAGATTCTGTTTTTTTTGCATTGCAAGTGGATCTTTGTTTCGTGTGGGTGAAACCCTTGCATCGACAGGAAGTAAGATGAATCATCTAATCAACATGTATGTCCAAAATAAATAAAACTAAATCATTACAAAACTCGACTTTCTCCCTTATAGATTCAATACAAAAATCTTAATCTAGGGTTTACCATCTAATTCTTCTCGGACTCTTATCAAACCTGATTGCTTTTTCTCTCTCTTTCAAAAACCAATAACGCTTTTTTAATATGAAGAAACTCAAAAAAGCTTTTACGAAGTGGCTATTAGTTATAAACAAATAAAGAATAAGATTCCATGTGACCGAGAAATCCTAAAGTAAAAATCATGAAACATTAGACGAAGAAGAGAACACATCATATAATAGCTTCAAAACATGATAATAAGGATTAACAATGAAACCGAATAATAAAAACTCATACCTTGGTAAAGAAAAAACCTGCAATATGATCATAGCAACATATATAAAATTGAATCTCAAACAACATACAATGAATGAACAAACAAAAAAAGAATAATGGCACACAACTATAAAACCAAACAATAAAAAAAAATACGTATATCAAGACGAAACTAAATCGGCGGAGGAGAATTATTCAAGATTAAATCCTAACACGTATATAAGAGAATAAAAATTTATTAGGGTATGAGCACGAACCTAGAAATTTAGTAGGCAAATACAATATTTATAAGTGGAGATCGAAACAATCTAGGGTTTTAGATATGAAAAACATTACCAGTCCAAAAAACTAATCACAATCTAGAGTTTATCATCTTATTCTTCTCTAATTGCTCTCTCTCTCTGCTGCAAAGAGGGATGTCACGTTTTTTTAAAATCTTTTCAGCCACCAAACTTTGGTGATAAAACTCTCTTACCTATTCTGTATATTAATAGATTTAACAAAAAAGTTAAAACTTCATTACACACAACATCCGACTAAAATTTGGATTCAACATAAAAAAAATATAGATTACATACACAACCAAGTAAAGAAGAAGAGAACAAAGAACAAACACAAGAGGAAAGACTTTAACATAAAAAAAAAAGACAAGAGGAAAGCATAAGAAATCACAATTCATGATATCTTATATTGAAAAAAAAAGATCGAAACTGTGAAAGAATATCAGAAACATGAGAAAAAAAAAACGCAGCCGAATGAGTTTGGAGAGGTAGGTATGATACTTATCCTCTATATATTAATTATGGAGATATTAGAAAAAAAATCCTAGTGTCAATCAAAGAGCAATTTAAGGAACACATCATTTAATTTAACCAATAAAAAAATTCAATTAAAAATATATGCCATGGTGGAATTCTCTACATATTCTTATTAATTTTCAACATAAACTCACTAATACAAGTTTTCAAATTTTAAACCCAACTAAATATAATAATTTAGACTTATCATAACATATATTTTCTGAAATATTAACAAGCTTTTTATTATTGTAGTTATAACAATCATCTATTGTGAATTTATGTATTTAGATTAGTATACTTATTATGATATATACTCTAATATATATATATATATTTGCACTTACATATATTTATACGTTTTATTATTGGAAAACATATATTTTCTATTATGATATGTACTCTAATATATATATTTGCACCTATAAATATTTATACATTTTATCATTGGAAAACATATATTGTTTTCTATTTGTTATGTCTGACAAATTCACTTATCATATGTTTTATAATTTACACGAATGACGATAATCAATTCTATATTTTAAAAGATACTAAAATAAATAATATTTGCATATATTTTGATCAATTTACAAATAAAAATATTAAAACTGATAGTATTAACATATGTTTCATCAAAAATATTCAACTTTATTCCTTTAATGCACAATAAATATCATTTTTTGTATGTATATAGAGATTAAAAATTATATTTTTGATCAAAAACACATTTAAATATTAAAAAATTATATACATTAAAACCGATTAACCAATTTAGTCTACTATTTAATTCTGTTTGGGCGCAGGATAAAATCTAGTAAAATATTATAGGATAGTATTTAGGATTTATTTTTTACCGACATTTTTTTGTGACTATTAAAAATTTGGGCTTAGTACTTGTAACGCCCGTGAACCAAAAATGTGATTTTTGGTTGTGTGTCGATTGACACGTGTGTTTAATTCGCGAAGGAATCTGTTTGCTGGAGCTGTGTCGCGCGACACAAGAGGTGTGTGTCAAGCGACACATGCTTAAATTGGACCGTGTGGTTTTGATTTCTAATCGGGTTTGGTTTGGGTTGGTTTAGGGAACCTAGGGTTCCGTATTTAAGCAGAGAAAAGCGTTTTCTCTTGGGGGTTGGCCGAAAATTTGATCAGAGAAAGAGTTTTAGAGAGTTTTGTGAGGAAGTGTTTTTCTTGAGAGAGAAACAGTTCTGCTCGGGTTTTTGGAGGAGATGATTGGCGGAGAAGATCGGATCGGATCAGAGTGAAACTTTTAGAGTAAGTTCTCCTACTTTTCTCTTGATGTGGGTGGAAACCGCGTGCCTTTTGGATGAGTATTCGCTGAGTTATGGCCGTTGGATTGTGTGAGGTTTCTGCAGTCTCGAGTCTGCGATCAGTCCACTTCGAGGGAAGATTTCCGTCGAACCAGAGAGAATGAGGAGACGATCCTTATGCCGTTGGAAAGCTCTCTCTGTCTAGTTTTTGTATTAGGTTTCGGATCCTGATTTAGAGGTAATTTCCGTTTTCTGTGTTCGTTTGATTTCAGGGTGTTGTTTCTGAAATCTCTGTTTTTCCAGTTTCGATTAGCGAGATTGCGGGCTCTTTTCCCATCGATCTGTTTGGAGTTAGGAGACGTTCTATACACCGTTGCGAAGCTCTTGGTGTCTAGTTTCCAGATCAGGTTTCAGACCTTGATTTTCTAAAGGGAGTCGCGAGTTATTCCCTTCTGTTCGGGTCGTATCGGGAGTGCCTTGTTTCCTCGTTTCAATCCGTTTGCAAAAGTGAGTGCGTGACCATAGGCTCTCGGATTAGGATTGTGTGGAATACGATTGATTGTGGCTTGTTTTTACTGTGTTTAGTGATTGAATTGTGCAGGATCGTGATCTGAGTCCTTGAGATTGAGCCATGAGAGGATAGGTTCAATCTTAG